TAATGAAGAAAAACTTTAATATAAGTTTTTCTTCATTACCCATTCAAGCTGTCTCCAGCCATTATTAGTCTCAAAGTGGGTTCCTCGTCATCGAATTTAAATTCAAATATCTAGATTGTGTTGTTCTTTCCAACTTCCCCAGATACCATGTTTACAAGTGATTAAATGTCACAATATCCAGCCAGTGACAAAAATAACTGTAGGCTAGGAAAGTCAAGTTTCAGTAAAATTAAATTATATTAGCTATCCCATGTGAAGAAATCTAACTGTTGACAATTTTACAAGTATAACAAATTCTCACATCATTCCGTTGGTGGTGGGAAAGCATGTGTTCAAGTTAACAGATTAAGAAACTGTATTGACAAAGATTAAAACAAAATGTCAAGGCTAGAATTAAAGAACTTGAAGAAAAAATTTCTTCTAATGGACTGTGTTAAACAAACATGGAACTTTCAGTAGTTGTTCAAGTTAACAGATTAAGAAACTGTATTGACAAAGATTAAAACAAAATGTCAAGGCTAGAATTAAAGAACTTGAAGAAAAAATTTCTTCTAATGGACTGTGTTAAACAAATATGGAACTTTCAGTAGTTATTGAAAACTGGAAATATATAAAAATTTGTTCCATTTTAAGCCATTCATATTTTTTCTAATTTCTTGAAAATTTGGGAGGTTTTGTGCCCTTCCTCGTCACCATCTCCCCTTTTCCCCTCTACCTGGATTTAGCCCTGCAGCCCCTAGACCACCACCTATATGAATAGGCAAAGGGAAAAAAGGCTGAAAGCTGGTGGTCACAAAAATATTGATGCTATGTATTATTTTCATTTTTAGAAGAATTTAATTTCAAACTGTATATATAATTATAGAATATGGTGATAAAATTTCTAAACAGCTTCTAAGTTTGGTCTTGATTCATAATTATAAATACCCTGTTAAGCAAAGTCTTAATGGTAGGCACATAGACAGTTGCTGTCACTTATTACCAGGCCAGCTAGAGAACGATTTTTTTACTTAAGATTTGTTTGAACTTCACACCTTACTATAATGGAGCAATGGCATGGTCATCAATATATATGTATCTATTTATGTGACTGAAATAATAAATACAATGGTGCCATCTGTTGTGCTGAAATACAAGATCTCAATGCCAGAAGTGGTGATTGAGGCTTGTGAAATGTGGTACTTCCTAGAAAAAAATACTTTTTTTAGAAAATGTTCACTTTTTCTAAATTTTTTTCAATGAGGTTTGAATACCATGATTAGTAATGTGTGTACAGCACATATAGTCGTCTATAGGGTGGTGTTTCTGCTAGTTTTTATAAATGATTAAAACGTTATTATTCGTTTTTTGTGGTTTTTTCAACAAATAAATGTTTATACAAATATTTTATTTGTTAGCATGTTACAGTTACTACCAAATCTTGATTTTTGACCTTGTTATGTTTCTGACCGCTTACTTAGTCCCACGTGTTTCACTAATTTTTTTCTCCTTTTGTCTAGATCATAGATAGTATGTAACAGATCTTTCTAAACCACGTATATTTTTTACTTTTGTAATTGAAGACGTTGAGGTCTTTCTCTTACTCCTCATGTCAATTATATTGAATCTCAGTTCCTTTATTGTGTGATTTTAATTATTATTTTTTTTGTTGTGTCCACCAATGAATAGCTCTTTGCATATGTTCCTGCAATAGAAAGTGCTAACCACATTCTGCAAGAAATATTATTTTTTTCCAGTAACAGTATAGGAAAGTGATAACAGTAATTCCTACAGTGAAATAAATCTGTCTGCAGTGATCTATTCAGTTCTTATGTATGCTTATGTTTACATTGTGATATTGAGTTAGAAATTGCTGGCAGGAAAAATGTATGCTCTATCCATCATAGAGTCATATCATTATTTAGCTTCCCTGTATAATATTATTAACTATGTTCTTAATAAACTAAGTTAATAATAGAATCTCCATATCACTAAGCAGAGTTATTTACAAAAGGAGATGCATTTCTTCAGTCTTAGGATATTTGTTAATCAAATAAGAAATGATTGATCTTTGTGTGTTTTTGAGTATATTTTAAACTGAACCTACTTTTAAAGTTTAGCTTTTCTTGTTTATTTTTTGAAGTTTCAAGTTAATTTTGTTCATTTCTGTTATGACTAGGGCTGACATAAAAAACTTGATAAATGCTGTTGATATTTGGTTAAGCATGCAAAAAAAAGACATTGTTTCCATTGAAAGTATTTTACTGTTGTTATTTTATTAATAAAGAATTGATGACTTGTAAAAACTGGCTGATTTTGAATATCTAAAGTTGTAATCAGTTTGAAAAATAACACTGAAATCAACATTGAGTACTGTGTAAAAGTATGGTATACATTGTTATTGTCTTTTTGATGGGATTTACATAATTCTCTTTCCTTCTGTTTGTGATATTAAAAATAAATGTTTTGTTAAAATACTATATTTTTCAGTCAGTCTTCAATGGGTAATTCCTTGTTGAGTTTCAAGTGTTGACTGAGCTGTGTGAAATTGATTGTACTGAAGTGTAGTGATTTTCTTGAAGTGGGTGGTACGTCCTTTTGTGCACAGAAGTTAGTTTGTTAATTAGTTGCATTCATATTTGTTTTTCTTGATGTAGCTTGTGTTACCTTTGTAGTTTATGCTTTAACAGAGTCCTTTCTCACAAGTTCCCTTTGGGTTGATTTCACCTGTGATTTGTGATGCATGATTTTATTCAACCATGTTTTGAGTTCAAATGTTCTTCTTTGCTTGTCATACATCTTTGAAACTGTTATACTTATATGCTTTATTCATGTCTGCGAGTGGACTCTACATCTTTTACTGCCCTTGATATAGTGAATGGTCAAAAGCTGATACCACTGAGTTTTTTATTACTTTCTGAACTAGTTTACATGTAGATTGAAATTTTTATTTTCTACCTAACTTGTAGGACAAGTTTCTTCTCTATACAAGTGTGAGATCCTTGAAAATGCAGGAAGAAATCCCTAAGTGGAATTCAAGAAATAATCAGTCTTTGGCAGAATTGTTTGTGGGCTTTCTAGATTATTACAGTTACAAGTTTGAGTAAGTAGTCTTTTAACAACAGAATATACAATTTATCTGTTTAGTGAGTGATTGTATATTAATATAGAGAGTAAATTTTAAGTATACAGAAGGTTAATCATAAGAACGTTATAAGAACGATGATGCCAAGGGTGACATGTTTAGTATTAATATATATATATAGTATACAACACATTTTTGGCCATTCATCAATGTAGTGTCACCACAGGTAGACTTATGGTTGAAGGAGACTGTACCTCAGCCTTTTCCAAAGAGAAATATTTACATAATAAGATTATTAACAATGCAGAACCAAAGGACATGTCAAGGCAGGGAGTCATCAATGTTCTCCAGAAAAGCAGAAAACCTCACCAGGTTTCAAAACTAATCCCAGACAAGAGTAAACCCTCATTCACAAACCCCTAACTCCAAAAACCATTGCTATGAATTTGGGAGTATCTCCTGTTAATATTAACAAGACAATAAGTACTTGAAGTTGATGAAGGTTTGCTCACAAGTCAAAAATTTATAAACTTCTTGCTACAACTCAAAATCAACAATTTTGTTTTTCATGAGAAGGATATGGCCAAAGAAACTGATATCTCAGTAATCCTGTTCAACAACATACCTTTCAAGTTTTCTGATACCACTGTAATGGACTGTTGTATTTTCCAATTATTTAATTGGAGATTTTGAAATCAATGTTTATGTACAATGGAGACTCTGTGGAAAGCTTGTCAAGGTGTGTGGTAGAAGTTAGTTACAATGAAATTGCAGCAATGGATAATTTTGCATATTCACAACCATCAAAGTTTTATGAATAGTGATAGAAGAAATATTGTCAAAAACAGCACATGACCTTCATAATCATTATTATAAAAGTATAATTAGCCCTTTTTAGATATTATAAAATTGAATTAATTTTTATGTCTATTAAACTCATCGAAAGACACAGTAACTAACAGAAATTATTAAAGTAAAAATAATTGTTTCATCCTATACATTATTATAAATGCAATAATATTTGTCTATAAAATTTTAAGATAATTTGTAGAAGTGTATAAAGTCTTTTAATATTATGGTTTCCAGTATGTCATAATTCATTTTGATACTTGGTATTGATCCAATTTGATATAATCAGCTGAAGCACCAAAAGTAATTGAAATATCATAGTTTGGTAATGATTTTTACTTAAAATTGACATGCAAATAATTTCTTTTTCATATATTACTTGGCATTAAATTATGCTGTACTGTGTTCTGTTGTACTTACTTAATATCTCCTTGTACAAGTATTGGTATTAGTTGTAAAATAACTTCTAATGTTAGAGCAGCAATAGTTTACTTTTGTAATATAACAGTTGTCAAACACTTTTAAATAAAGACACTTGTGAATAAGTTTTTATGTAATTCTAGCTAATTTTAAGTTAAACTCTCTAAATCTATTTGTCTTTCATTTTCCATTTTTATAGCTTCAGTAAGAAGGCCATCTCTGTTCGTCTTGGTTGCACTTTACCCAAGCGAGTGGTTATGAATAATATATCTCCGAAAAACAATGCAGGACAGTGGAAATTCATATGTATAGAAGGTAAGGATATCATTCTGCAGTTCTATAGTAGTACACGTTTTTTAACTCTCTTACCATAGGTAGGTCAAAATGTACGTCACGACTTTTTAGAGTTACTCTCAAAATTTAATCAAACTACTTTATTATTATGGTATACTAATAAACTTGTCATTAAATTGTAGTCAATAAATCAAATTTTAATATAAGTTTGAAGTTATTAATGTTATAAGGAAATATTTAACATTTGTTTTATGGCCAAATGAGACTTGCATCTGATCACCTTTTTGAAGCAGACAACAAAATTTACAAAAAGATATGAAGTTTGAAGAACCTGAAGCTATGAATTCAGGGATCTCTCCCGAAAAAAATAAAACCATACCATTCACCTAAACGACATGACCACTTCTTAAAAAATATTGGCCAGAAGTAGGTGGCTCTGCTTTGTTTTCTGTTAACTAAAGTATACATGCAGTGTTGCCTTTACATTATTACCAAATTTTTGTAAGGAAAAAAGTAACTTAAAAATTGTGATTGGAGTTTCTGAGGTAAGTATCAAATGCTTTTCATAAGTTTTGATTTGCTCTTGATGCGCAAAACACAAATATGTCATTAAAGAGTGCAGTTACTTGTCATCAAAAGAAGAATTGTGTTTCTATTTTATCAGAGTATCAGTGCACAGAAAAGTGTACCGGCTAAAATAAAAGAACATGAGTACCAGTATGCTAAAATGGGCTGGTGAAAAACCTGGGATTAACTCTTAGCTTCATCAGAAAAGATAATAACAATCTTTGTCTGTTTTTCAGTTTTATTCCAAAGAAGTGTCTGTGAATGTATCATGTACATTTTTCAAGCAATAAAGCACAAAACCGAAAGTTAAAGATGCGTACAGATCATGAAATAAAACATCAGTCAGTGTTCCAATGTAGTTCTTCATCTTTTTTTATGTAGTAAATCATATGTGTGCATGTTGATTGATATAGCATGTACACATTACAGCTGCATATGCATTGGAGGCAGCTGTATTTAAATACACTTTAGTATAAACATAAAATTAGCTGGAAGAAAAAAGTTGGAATTACCTTGCTTCGGATTGACACATACTTTGAATAATTTTATAGTGATTAAGAAGTATTTAGAAATGGAAGTCCAATTACTTCACTTAATATGTTGTAGTCTAGGTGAGTTGAGTGACTTTTTTTATCTTATTAAGTAGTACAGCTTTTACAATCGTATGAATGACTAAAGAACACATTATACTAGTGCTATATGAAGAATTGTAACTTCAAAGGTCTTACTCACTTGTTAATGTAATATAACCTCATCTGATACGTACTGACCTTATACAGATGAAAATGTTTATAGTTGCAGGGATGGTGTTTGCTTCACATTAATTCACAGTGATATTGTTTCAATATGTGATGATGGATAGCTATAATCCTTCTGAAAAATAAAATTAAAATACTTAAAGATTGAATGGTGTCATATATTGATGTCTATCAGTTGGAGTTTATGTTTCAGAGGTAAAACATATTCTCTGTTGTTGAATGCTGGTTTTCAAAGTTCAATGGCTATGGTTTCCAGTGTGCTTAGTTCATTTTCATTTCTAAATTTTAAAATAATGTTAAACTGCTACTTGGTTTTCTGAATATCATTGCACTCCAACTTTTATTTTCTGATGTTGGTGGAATACAGGTTTATTATGTTCCAATACTGTTTTTCTCTGCTGAAGCCTCCTTTTCTCACTTGGGCATGTGTAGAGATATACTAATAGGAACCTCTGCAAAAATTAAATTTTTCCTTAAAGGGTAAAATATTTCTGTTTTCAGTGTAAAGATACTATCAATTTGTACATGTGGATAATTTCTCTGAAGTATTTTCATAATTTTCTGTTTTATATTAAATTATTGTTTGCCCATAGCTTAAAAAAAAAAGTCACTTTCTTCTTTGATACATCAGAAGTCATACAAGGACAGTCAGTCATTATTTCCTAAAGAATTATAGTGAAAGCATTTTTACAAATCATTCTTTGATGTTATTCACCTCACTGTGAAAGTTTATTATTACTCACTAACTTGTGAGCATGGTTAGCTAAGATTTTAATCAGGTTTTCTTTGTAAATCAAAAGTTTAAAACTATCAATGTAAGAGTAGGTTTACAATAAGATGTTATAGTGAATACACCTATCACAGGTATCCAAAAACAGTAAAGTATTATGTTTTCATATATTAACAGTAAATTTAATGTTGTTAATTTAATTAAGTGATAATATTCTCTGTGTGTTTGAAAAACTGTAAAAATGCCATCTACTTATCTTCTACAATAAAAGTGTTTGAATTCATTTGGGTTCTTTCATAACCATTGTTTCTTCTGAACACAGAAAAATATATATACTAGTAGATTAGGTGCCAAGCTAAACCCATTGTTACTTTATCAAGCTGTTCTTAGATATTACCATTGAATATCAAAGTATGTGATTGACATAGCTTACCAAAATTTTAAACATTTTGTGATAAGCTAATTGACTCTTAGTTATTGAAACCTAAAATCATCTATGTTTCAGCAACAGTCAACAGACTAAGAGTAGAATTCTTAGCATAAACAGATAGAGCAGGAATTTCAACCATGTTTTTTACCCTTGAGTTTAATGGTCACATTAGTAATATTGGTTATTGTGGATTGTTGAATTTACTGTCATTATTTTTAATGCACTTTATTCTTTCTTGTCCTTTTCATTTTTGGGATTCAATTAGTTTGAATTAAAAATAGCACAATATATAGGTAGCACTTTGAGAGATAAAAACATGGAGTGTAAAATCACAGGAAACAATGTACATTTATAAACCACAATTAAACAAGAGATTGAAGTTTGTGAATATTGTATAATTTTAAACCAGAAATTTTTTACAAAGTTATTTCTGACAAGAACTTTTAATTACCAAAGCTATTATCCCAAATATACCTGTATGTGTCACTTGTGTGTTTTAATATTTTCAAATTAAACTGTTCGTGAAACAGTCATTACTTTTAGGCTTTAGAATATGATCCCATTCACATTTATGAGGAAGCAAATATTCTCAACTAATGGGCTTCATTTGCTCTGTAATGGTATAAAGTAACTTGCTGTTACAACCAGGGTTGAACCAAATAACATAAATTTATTATACTTTGACAACCACAGAAATCTAAAGTTTGACTTTCAAACTATGAAATACAAATTTAATAACTTCACAGTAAAGAAATATGTACCTGGTCAGGACTTGAAAATGATATTAATGAACAATACAATAGATAAATCCAGGTTAATAAATATTTCAATAAATAAATAAAGCAATAAGGGGGGAAAAAAAGAACCAGACAAATAAAAAAATCCTAATTCCAAAATAACAATATTCTGTATTTAAACTACAAGATCACTAACAACATTTGGTAATAATCAGCAATAATACTGTACAGCTATATTTTTTGAACTAACTTGTTACAGATCAATGTAGGGTTTTTGTTCACTTGATGGATCCCGAGATTACAACTCGTATGATCATAATTTATATAATCTTGTGCAACATTAATGATAGCTGTACGTCACCGCTAGCGAAAACTTTTGTCAGTCTCATAATGCATGCATATTTACTCAAAATAAACGTGATCATTAGATGGTGAGTTAGCATTTTAAATGTAACTAAAACTTCATAGATAAACTAAACGATAGAACTAATAATAAATTAATGATAAACAACACAATAACCAAATAAAAATAGAATTTGCTATCTCACATTTTGCTAAATGGTTTTACTAAATCTTTTTCATAAGAATCATTAACATTTACTTATAAACTGAACATATATACCCCTTATCTAACAATTTTAATTTTACAATGCATCTGAATTGAAAAATCAGCTATAACTTTACTAGTAAGTATAGAAATCAAGATGAATGTAATATGAATAGAATTCAATGATACAGTAAAGGAACGGTCTTAAGATGAAAATGATACATGTTATTGTTCTAAGTTATAAGAATATTTTATATTTAAGCAATGAAAGATGAATGCTTTAAGTTTAGTATCTTCATCTACCATATATTAGAATAAATATAGAAATTAAAAATTACTGTTGGCTGTACCCGACTCTTATTAGATGTCAAGTTTGAGCTGCAAGTAGAAACTTCAGACTTTATGAAATTGAATGTTGCATGTCTTTTCAATGACTCATGACTGTTATAATCTTGGTGTGAGAGGCAAGAAGATCTGAATATCATAATGCAAACATGAAGTAACTTCACTGAAATAATTTCTGAATAAAATTGGAGAAAGATGAATTAAATATTGACTACTATTGAGCTATGTAATCATCTGCTTTAACCCATTTTGCATATATACACAATGTTTTGATATTTGTTTGTTAGCCCATAAATAAGCCCAACCAATAGTTATAGTTAACCGAATGTGGATTTGGTTGATCCAATGGATTAACTCTATTTTGTAGAAGGAATGTTGACTGTAATTCTGAATTTAGTATGTGCATCTACATAAAATATGGCAAGCATTTAGTAAAATGTAAAAATCTGTTCCCAAAAAAATGAATGTGTTATAAAAGTATTTTTACTCAAGATATATCTGTGAAATGATGATGTCAGTCTGACACAGACTCTGACAAGTTGGAGTGCAAGGTTACATTCATGTGAAGAACAAAAATATTTTTGTCCGTTATATGGTTTCAATATTGTATTTGTCTGACAGCTACAACCTCCAAATGCATGTTACATTTTTTCCAGTATCTCTGTACATTGTATCTGGTATTTACTCTACCATGAACTCTCGCTATATTAGCAATATAGGGTAAAATGAGTAGTCAATAACTGACATAAAATACATAATAATATGTTGAATGGCACTGTAAAAGGTTGTGACATAAGCAATTTGACTTCCACCCGTATACATAGGGTTAAAAAATGTATATTAATTTGTATCATGAAATGTATTACCTGATGAAACTAATAATTATAATACTTTGTTTCTTGTGATAACATTTATTAATTGAATTGTCCTGACAACACTTAAGAGTATTAACCTGGTATAATTAAATTGTGTACTTTTTCAAGTATTGTTGTCAGTATACACATAAAATGTCTGTTATGATAAAATGTATCTACTTCGTCTCTTTTTACCGTTACAGAGCCTTTTGACCAAACTAACACAGCTAGATCAGTTTATATCCAGCAAGCATTCAATAAGATTTTGAACGTGTTCAGAACTGGTCTTCAAATGATTTTGAAAAGGAAAGATATCTCTTCACTTATAGATCTTTGAAGTATGAAGCCACACAGTATTCTTTTTAATGGTTTTTTTTGTGATATCTGTTATTTGTATGAAACTTTGTGCCTTATGATTTTTATTTTCTGTAACAAACATTATATTTAAAAAGATCTTTATTACGTAAAGTTAGTAAGGACTCGACATAAGATGTTTTTAGTACTGTGGTGTCATGAAATATAAGTTTTAAAGTGTGGACTAGTAGAAATGTTTTTGCATTAAAAAATAACTAAAAGAAGTATTATTCCTTAAATGTAATTGTTCTTTTTACATGGGCTTTTCAGGTAAACCTATTACTATGTTCATTTAATATAACTGAAATTTGAGAAGCAGATTGAAACGAAGAGCATGAATGATCCTTCTAGCCATAGATTTATTAATTCAAATTGAAAAAAAAGCTGGGCCGAGGGTTCGAATCCCCGTGCTTTCAAACATGCTCATCCCTTCAGCCGTGGGGGTGTTATAAAATGTGACGGTCAATCCCACTATTTGTTGGTAAAAGAGTAGCCCAAAAGTTGGCGGTGGGTGATGACGACTAGCTGCCTTCCCTCTAGTCTTACACTGCTAAATAAGTGATGACTAGCACAGATACAAACAGAAACAGTCAATTAGATGAAATTTATTTTTTTCTTGAAATTGTGTAAATACATTTTTGATTCTATATATATATATACAGAGGAAGTAAACAAAAAGTTTCATGGAATATATTATAGCTTATTAGAAGTAACATTGGTTTCAACTGCTGTCTTTTGCATGTAAAAATGATATGATTTAGACTTTGCTGATTAATTATTATGATCTTTTATAAACCATTTTTAGCAGAATTGACTACAAAAACGTTTCAAAAAACACATTTTTTTATTTTTTTTTATATATGTACAATTGTTTGTTAAAAAGCATGAAGTATAATGAAAAATGTACATACTTTTATTTTTAACAGCTTGTGAATAAGTAAACTCGTATACAGAGCCAATGTTCATCATTAGCCATAGTTAAAATCTTAAAATAATTTAAATAGATGACTGCTTACCACTCACCTGGACATTGCTCTGATGCACTTTTATTATTATTCTTGAACTTGCATGTTCTTTCACTCGTGTCAGTAGCTTATAGTAGAAGCAATGCCATTTTGCTTGCTACAAGGACAAATAAATGGATAAACTATAATTGATGTTTTCAGCAGAGAAATACAATCTTTCTATTATAAAAAGTACTGCAGGTGACATCCTGGTTCTAAAATACATGTCAGTTGTACGTGCAAGTACACTGCATGAAGTAGGGTGCATATTTTTATTTCTTTTAATAAATTAATATTTACTGATATATGACATAGTTATAAAATTTAACATTTGGGAACTTTATATGTTGATAGTTTATTAAAGTTTAATTTTCTTCAAGTAGTTTCTCTTAACCTTACTAGGTGGTCTGCTGTTTGTCTATGTTTGCAACCTGTATTTTGTATCTCAGAGAGTATGTTTTTGCTCTCTAAAAACCACATTAATTGCATGGTGATACTTTTTTTCTACAAGTTTACCAATGCAATTGATGAGACTAATAGAATAGAGGTTAAATAAAATAGTAAATGATGATCAACGTTATTTACTTGCACAAACATTTATTTGTAAAGTTAAAAAAATAAAAATATACAAGTTAAAAGGAAATTAAAACTCCAAATGTTTCAGTGTAAATAATTACACCATCTTCAGGAAAATCCATCAAGAAGTACACATAACATTACATATAAACCAAAGGTACATGTATAATTAAGATACAAGTACAATGGTGCCATTTACAACAATGATTTCCAAAAGTTTAGTTCCATGGCTCCTGGGCCTAAATCTCTATTTATATTCATTTTGTTTTTAACAATTTCTAAGAAATCTCTTATATTTAGTTCCTCTTTTTCCATTACCTGGTTAAGTATTTTTTACGTTATCCCAATCAATAACATCTGTAAAATTCACCACATGTTCTGCCAAAGCCGATTCACTCGTTTTTAATTTATCCACCGCATTTTGATGTTATTTTACTCTAAATTTTAAGTTCCTACTTGTCTGTCCAATATAACTTAGACCATAAGTACATGAAATTTTGTATATACCACCTTTATCACTCAATTCAATTTTGTCTTTCAAACCATTAATTATATGACTTAATTTTAATTGAGGAGTAAATGTTACTTGGCAATTCAAGTTTTGCCTAAACACATTACCTATTTTTATTGACCATGGTAAAACATGGGGCAGACATATTCTTTCTCTATTTTCCCTTTTTGTTATTTCCATAGATAGGATGTACAGTAAATATTATAACAAACTTCAAATTTCTGGATGTACTAAACAGAACATGTCAAGGATGTTAGTAATAAAGTTAGTAACTTCAATGAAGCAAACTGCATCAAAGTTATTGAGATTAGAAGTGATGAAGGTGTTAGATAAGTATTGCGTGAGTAGGGTTGCTTTTTGGGAATCTATTGTGGCAGTTGTGTTTTTGTAAGTGATGTTATCAAAGTCATTGCTTTCTCTACGAATATCTTTGAAAGTTTTCCAGAAAAGTGCTGGGTTGTCTGTTTGTTGATTTACTGAAGAGTGTTGATATTTTATTTTTGCATGAATTGAAAAGATGTTTTAGTGAGGGATCTTTAGAGGTTGCATATTTTCTGCAAAGTTTGCATCTTTCTAAAATAAGTTTTTATATTTTGGGGATTAATCTTCAGGAGTTGAGTGTGGGGTTGAATGTTATCTTGGGAACAGCTTTGTTTACTAAGTTAATGATTGATGTAGTTAAGTCCTGAGCCTACTCACCTAATTTATCTTTGTTTGGTATGGTTGTTCTAAATTCTGGGAGCTCTTGGGTAAGGATTGTATAAAATTTCATTCTAGACCTAGCAATTGTTGCACCACTCATCCATCATATCACTAACAACTTTAAAGTCCACAAGAACATCGACAGAGAATGTAATCCCATCTCCTTTAAACTACAACTCAAACACCTCTTTAAACGTTCAAAACCCACAAAGAATCATCCTTGACCTTAACAGAACCAATTAGCACTTTTGTGTGCTGTTATAGTGTGTATGGGTGTTGTCATTAATGACTGATAGATTATAATTGTTGATAAGGTCCATGATAGTTTTACCAGAGCCATTGGTAGTAAAGGCATAGAGTGCAGGGTGTATAGCATTTAGGTCACCTAAGATTATAATGTTTCTGAGAATAGATTGGAAAAAGGATGTATCAGGTCTGGAAGAGGGGGAAATATAAACAGCTAGGAGTATAATGTTTGAGATATTTGGTAAGCATATATTACATAAGACATACCCGTCTTTGGTTGGGATGTGTTGATCCAAAATGCTGATGTCAAGGTTAGCTTTGTATATTAGTGCGATGCCTCTAGTGCCTTGGGATTTTGGTTTGGAGATTGTTTGGTAATTTGAGGGAGGAGCTAGAATTTAGAAAGGGTTCACTTATTGCAATGATATTGGCATTAGTTGTTTGGGATGATTTAAAAAACTTGAATTTTTTTGTAGTGTAGACCTCCTTGGATGTTAACATTTGGAAAATGAACTGGGCTTATTTGAACATTGTTTTTGGTTTTTCGTGTGATTAGTTCACCAAGGGTATCTGGATTTAATCCATGTAGATTTAGATAATGTCATATTGTGTTGCTTACTCTAGTGAAGAATGTCATAGGGGTATCTTCGTCAGTGGCGAAGATGACAACATTGGTGATCAGGGCAATAAGATTCTCTGGGCATGAAATTTTAATGCTGGTGTTAATGGGCCAAAGTTGTGGTTGCTGTCTCATGGCATTGGCATAAGTTCTCCAAATGCTGATGTTGGTAGCTGATGGTAAAGTGCTTCTCGTGGGAGTTCATTTTTTTTATGAGGTTCTTCCATGATAATAGAGGCATGACCAGTTGTGACTGGGGGTTACTGGTTTTAGTTTTGGACTTGAAGGATGCCTATAGCAGGCAGTGTGTGGAACTCCACAGTTGCTATAAGTCATGTCTTACATTGTTTGTGACAGTTGTTGACTTGATGATTGCCAGCGTGACTTGGCAGTGGAAGTTTCATGAGTGTGACCAAGCTGTTGACAGATTAAACATTGTAACACAAGCAGTTTGGTGTTATTAGGGTCTTCTACTCTGTGTTTCAAAAGCCACAGTGTGATACCATTCTTAAGTATTTGGGTGGTTTGGTTGACATCTAGGAGAGTAAGTCTTATGAGTGTTGTAAGTTCTTCAGTTTTGGTTGACTTAATTTTGGAGAAGTTTGAAATTTTGAGGCTATAGTGAGATAATTCTGCTTTGAATTCTTTGTTTGTGAAGTCTAGGGGAATACCTCTTATTACAACGGTCTTTCCTACTAGGCTGTCAGAAGGGACGTGAACATTGATAGGAGTTCCATTGAATGCCATGACTTTAGAAGGGTTTAATAGTCTAAATGATACATTTGATGGTTATATTCCCTATAGGGAGTCTGCATATGTTGGAGAATCAAACCATTGTTTTTCATGAAATCAAAATAGAAGATTAGCAAGAGAAAGAGCTAATCTGGTATCATAGCCACACCATCAATTTGATAATAAAAATCACCATTGAACAAAAAGTGCAATTCCTTACTTGGAAATTCACTCACTTCAAAAATACAGATTTTGAAATGTATAATTCATTTGAATTGTCATTAGAAATTAATTTTACAAATAACTGTATTGTTTCTTCTAAGGGATATTATACAAAAACTCCTTGTCCAAAACTAGCACACTAAACATTACTATCAAATTTTAGATTTTGTATTTCATTAGAAAGTTCAAAACTGTCTTTCAAAGTACATACATTAGTAAAATATTTCTTCTTAAAAAAAACAAACTAAATCTGCCAAAGTATAACTATAAATTCCAATATTTGGAACTGTAGGGTTTGGAAAGGCCACAAAAAATACCTGAATGATCTTTAATTTCTATCAATAAATTTCATTGTCATTTTATTTCTATTAGTATCAGTAGTATCAAGTTCTTGGTCAAGCATCATAAATTTGATTGAACCACTGAAGATGTTATGCACTTTAATTGAATATTCCATTTTATCGAAAATGGATATACTCTATACTTCATTAGATTTAGTTTGAAAGTTTCTTTATTCTCATAACAACCCCTTTCAGGATAGAGTACATTAACATACAAAACATGAGCAATTTACAAAAAACGTATATGGTCAACTAAAACCATAACTAGCTAACTGACATTGTTATGACATTTATATAACTGAATACCATTTTTATAAATTTATATTTTTAGACATACTACCGATCTACTGCTTCTAGTAGTTTGAATAACAGATACAACAGAATTATTTTGATATACAGTTTCAGGTTCAGCATCCATTTTACTAAAATTTGTTAAGATAACAGAAATTTGGCAAGTTTTTAATTTTACTTTGATT